CTCTGTGTTGCTCTTTTATACTTTCTCATCTTTTCACATCTATGATCTAATTTATATATAAAAACAAATCTGTGGGTAGACAGCCCCACCATTATTCTCTTTTATGGAGAAGGAAATTAGGGTTCATATTAAGTAGCTTGGGGTTACACTGCTGCTGGATAGCAGAATCTGAAACAAGTTTAATTTTGTATGTTTACCTAACGATTTACCTATAAAATGTACATATAAACTATATTTATATTTCATAGGTCTACTGTATGTAAATATATAAAATATATTTACCTATAAAATGGTAACCTATAAACAGATTAATGTTTATTTCTATTTTTATACTTTACATTCACAAAGTTGGCTAATTTCGATCTCCTGGGCACTACAAGTCACAGCCCAGAAGAACTGTGGGCTTGGGAGTGAGTACAGGCAGTTCAGGGGTTCAGATCACAATCTCACTGCTGTGGGCCAGATAAACCTCTTTCTCTTTACTTTAGTTCCTCATCTGTACCATAGGGCTAATTATATCCATTCTGTGAACTGTTGGGCAGCCTAGAGATATCTCTGGGTCATACTTGGTACCTGCAGGCACTTAATGAACAGTAGCTACCCTTTCATTCATCTTTCCATTCTCTGACCATAACAAATTATATCCCATTACCCAGAAATGCTGCATACTTTCACTCCTCCAGGCATTTTGTGTTGTTTGAATGCCCTTTCTTCATTCTCAACCATCAGCACTGTTCTCATCCTCCAACAACCAGTTCAACTCTATCTCTTTTGTGATACCTTCCCCATTGTTTTCTGGACCCAACACCCAAGTGTTCATCTGATTTATAAAGTGTTTTGTTCTGCCTACAGTTTGGTGTTCACATAACTGACTTGCGAACCTCCCCACGAAAAAGTGCTATCTTGTTCCATACCCCTCTTCACACCCTGAGTATTAGAATTTCACAGAAAACCATGGTGGTTTTATTCAAATAAGACCAGCTCATTATTTTTTTAATCAATCAACACTAGATTATACAAAGCTATATGTCACCTAAGATCCCTCCAACCACAAAAAAAAAAAAAAAAAAAGATTAATATCATTCTTCACATGTTTCTACATTTTCATATGGATAGAAGTGTGGAAGATGAAAGAATGCATGAAAGAAGAATGGATGGAATTGCTTTATAAAATAGGTATATTTTATTTTTATACTTTATTTTATTTTAATTCTACAGAAAAGAAAAATAACGGAAAAGCTGAACTGTTAACACATTTCTCCCCCAAAAGAATCCTTAAAGATCCTTCCAAGTGTGTGTGTGTACACACACATATACATATTATATATAATATTATATATACAACATATAAAATATGTATTATATATATAATTGAAAGGTCGGAGCCATGACTTTAACACCCTGTTTAGTCAGCATGAGACAGGGAAAGTTAGTGTGGTCTCGTACTTTCTCCTGGAGCTCTTCGTTTCTCTTACATTCTTTTTACTTTGTCACTTTCTATTTCTTAAGCTTAATGCCCACCTTATTTAGCTTTGCTCTGTTTGAGTGGATAAAGGGCTCACCAAATGACCTGTAACCAAGCCTTCCTAAATTTGCTTTAGATTAATCTTTTCCATCATCAAGTAGGTTTTCCCAAGATGGACTCATATGGGCTGTATTCCCTGAGTTCTTGCATGTACAAGAATAGCTACCTACTTACCTTTGCAGAGTGATTAATTAAGTGTAAAATCTTTAGTCACACTGCCTCTCCCTCAGAATTCTATTATATCTCTTCTCTGTGTTCTCAAGTTTTTCTCCTCCTGCAGATCAAGACTGAGGGCAACGTGACTTTTTTCCTTGTGGCAGAGATGAATTGCTCCCAGCATGCAGTTCCTACTTTTTCTTTCAGTAACAGAAAAACCCTGAATTTTAAGAGAGCCCATGGCCACCCAGCTAGAAATGTTTTCTCAGCCTCCTTTGCAGCCAAGTAGGTCCGTTTAACTCTGTAATTTGATCAAGGGAAGTGGCATGTGTTTCCACAGATGCCCAGTTACCCTTCTGAGAGATAATTTTTGTATGATTTTCTCTGATTAATTTCATTTTTTCTCACCATATAACCTTCTTCAAACATTCCCTCTCTGTTAGTAATTTAGTTTTCAGTATATTCTACTTTGTTCCTTTATTAACTTTTTCTCTAATGAGGTTATGTGTACCCTCAATTTTTTTTCCTTAGCTCTGTGTTGGCCTTTTTATTTCTTTCTATAGTTGCATCATCTTGTTTTTGCACTCTCAGGGTTTTCAATACACTTTATTTTGCATGAATGAATGAATGAATGAATGAGTACCGCTGCTGCCTCTCCCACCCAAGAGCCAACTCCAACACAGAAATTATGTTGGGGTTGGGGCGAATGGGGCGAAGGTATCCCAATTATCATTGGGTGAGACAGAATAATTTTACTCATTTGTCAGGCCTTCTATCTTCCTGATGCTACTACTTATCCTTCAGCTCAAAGAGACAGCTCAAAGTCCACCTGCTCCAGATTCTTCCAACCCATATTGATTACTTCCTCTCCAGTCTCTGAAGGGCTTCTCTAAACTAAAGGATTCACAGGTAATGCCTGGGCTACTAAATAAACCTGGAACTTTTGAGAAGGGGGATGAACCTTCCCCCTCTCTCTTGTCATGCATGGTTGGGCACATAAGGGTTTTTTGTTTGTTTAAGATTTCTGGACTACTGATTTTCTGAATGAAAGGGAGTGCAAAAGCTAGAAACAAGACTAAGGAGAGGCTTCAACACTAGGCCTACTCATCTCCATTTAACAAGAAGTTGGAAAACACTATGAGGCAAGTGGAAGAAAGAGGATTCAGCGAGAGTATTACCCTTGATAGATTAATAGAGAAGAAACAAGCACCTGAGCCAGCAAACAAAACCTTCCCAACCTGCCTCTGCAGGCACGGCTGGCGGGCTGAGCAAACCCACATCCAAGTCCAAGCGCCTCTACTCAATCGCTGTCTGACTTTGAACAAATTGCCAAGGCTTCCTCAGTCTTTGTTTCCTCTTCTATTAAATGGTGACAATAATAGTATATGTCACATAGAGAGGTTATGAAAATTATATGAGATGCTGCATATAATGGTTCCAGCCTCATCCCATACCACTTCCTGCCTTGTGTGTTTCTCTCTAGGAATATCAACCTATTAGTAGTTCCCCACAATAATATACGAGCCATTCTTTACCCCACATCTTTGCTCCTGCAGCCCCTTCTCCTTCAAATGCACCTCTTCTAGGGGCTGAACGCTACACCCTCTAAGTTCCAGCTTAAGCATCACCTCCTGCAGGAAGCTTTCCCAAACCACTGCACCTTTTTCCCAGCCTCTGTGTATCCTCAAATCATTATATTTATCACACCATATTATAATTAATATCTGCATGTCCACTGCACTAAGCTCTTGAAGGAACAGAACTGCGAGAATATTTGGGTCTATATTCTAAAAATGAGCATTGTGCATGGGTTACAGTAAGCACTCAATGTTTGTTGAATAAGTAAAAGGAACAAAGACTCTGAGAAGAGAGAAAGAGGGTGACATAAGAAGCTAGTCTGCCACTAAGTTTCAAGGCCCTGCTAGACACATTGAATACGTGTATGCATATACACAATGTGTGTTCTCAATGCCTAGCACATACTAGGCACTCAATGAGTCTTTGATGAATGAAGTTAATATTAAATAAACTTACAAAAGAAGAAATTGTTTAAGAGCCTAGAAGCACTGCTGCAGATAAGCCCTTAACAATGCTGATATTGAGTTCCATTTACAAGCTAAAGACATTTAAGGTAACTGACTAGTGGTACCCACCAATCTGTGGCCATGCTCACTAGCAGTGTTTGTTTCCAGTCATAACCAAATAATGAGTACAAGTGGATATCAGAGCTGTAAAGGTCAAGCAAAAAAGTAAAAGAAAAAGAAAAGAAGGAAGGAAGGAAGGAAGGAAGGAAGGAAGGAAGGAAGGAAGGAAGGAAGGAAGGAAACCAGGCTCAATGCAAATAACTCTGACCAAAAAAGGAAATAAGCAAATGTAAGCTGGATCCACATGTCATGTTATTCATGTGACTGGCCACTGAGTTCTTTCCAATCATATATTCTAGGGGTAGAAAGCTTCCATAGTCCCTGTAAGGAGAAATTCAGGCAAGCCCACAATGAAACACAAGGACAAAGCCTTCTCACACCTAAAGGACTGGGTAATTTTAGCAGTGAGAAAATCTATAACGATGTAGGAAAAAATTACACCCAATACCAGCTTCACTACTTGGCAACACTGAATCTCAGGGTGAGTCTCTACCACTCTCTAACGCTTAGTTTTTCAACTGCAAATGGAGCTAATGATATGAGGACACCAAATGTCACTGTGGGGACTAAATGAGAGAACACACAGAGTGCCTCCTTAGGCCCAGGTGCACAGCAAAAGCCAGAAGGTGCTAAACTTGTCATGTTTCCCTCACCAAGATTGGCTGAGACTTAAGTCCAAGAGGCTTTTCCTCATCTGCAGGAAGGAAAGGGCCAAGCACTCAACATGGTGGGTGCTGTCAACTCCAGCTCAGAGACTCTTCCAGAGGTTGCAAAGGGTAGAGTGTTCCTAAAATTAAAGCCGAATGACGTCTCAGCACTGCGCTAGCGATACTAAGAGATGGATGCAAATTTAGAAAGACTATAATAAAAAAAAATTACAATCATCCTCCTGGGACATGTAGTTCTTTTCTGGTTGCCAGATTTCCTGGTCATCTAAAGTGTATGTGATATATTTATTCCTGTGGAAATAATTGATGAATATAGAGTCAAGCAGAGCTGAAGCCAAGGACAGACAGGAGGAGGGTTGCCAAGATCCAGAGGGAAACAATGTTTAAGTCTCCTTTAAAGGTTTCCATTTTATTTCATCTTTCAGAGCAGGTGAAAACTGCTCCAGCTACGTTGTGCATAACTTCTCCCACCCACTCAGTCTGATTTTGGTTCTTTCTGCTTCTTACCTTGTAGTCAGAGAGAGTCATGAACTCTCAAAGCTGGAAGGGGCATTTTAGGTCAACCTCCGTGCAAAGCCGGAATCCTTTGTTGGTAAATACTCTTCACTTGCAACTTTTGCTTGGCTATTCCCGTGACAGGAAGTCCGCTGCCTTGTGACATAGCTTGTTCCATGGTTGGGCAGTTCATTTGGCAATGTTCTTCCTTATCTGTGATCCCACAACTTCTCCTCCCTGACATCAGCCACTCAGAGTGACTCTAATTCTTCTCCCACATGAAGAAGGTGCCTGTTATTTTATCTGCTGCTGGCTGGAAAAGCCCAGTTTTCACAGTTACTCTACCTCCAATATGGTGTCTGAAACCTCAGCTTCTAAGTAGTCCATTCTGGGGTTGCTTCATTTTATCATGATCTGTGTGGGACCCAGAGAAACATAAGACTCCAGATGGGTCTGTACCACCTGACACAGAGCAGAACTGGCACAGTCCCTCCTCCAGAGCCTGAGATCAAATATTCCTCTTTTTGGCTTCTCTCTCCTCCCGCACTCAAGTATCAGTCCTCCCATTAGGCCCCCAATGACCCTGGGAACAGACACAAACTTGGAAGTGCCAGAAACAAGTGGAAAAAGGAGGGGATGACGCAGCTCAGTTTTTGGCCCAAGAAGCTGAGGGCACCCGACCAGGCAGGCTGCCTCTAAAAATAGCCTTCCCTCCCAACAGTCAGCCTCTTACTAACTTCCTGGGAGCCCTTCCTTCCAGCTCTCCAGGGTGTGGTCCTCGGTGTCCCGACGCCCGTTCTCTTGCCGCCCCTTCCCAAGTTCGATGGACTGGCTTCATTTAGGCACGGGCATTGACAACCATTGTTCCATAAGGCCAAGGTCACTTATAAATACATTTTTTTATGGAAATAGATTAATGTCTGTCAACAGAAGACTGATGAAGTAAACCTATCCATAATATGGAATGCAAAACAGTTGTGAAAAAAATAATATGTATACACTCATAATGGAAATACCTCTAAGGCATCCGGTAACATGAAAAAGGCAAATTTGTAAGGTGGCAGTCATAATGTAATCCATTTACTGAGTTTTTAAAATATATCTGGGGGAAATGAAGGCAAAAGGTGATGGGTGATTTTTTTTTTTAACCCTCTTTGAAGACTCTAAAAGCAAAGAGATTTCATGTATTATTTATGTGAATAAGCTCCCTGACCTATACCTTTCACCCTTTGCCATTCGGCGATCTCACAGCTGGAAGGGCCTAGAGAGCTGAGAGCCGAGTCCCTGAGGTGCCATGCCCAGGGTGGCCTGACTCTTACCCCAGGCCACACCAACAGCGAGTAACAGCAGGAAACACACGTCACAGTGCAGGCCCTAACATAATGCGAGGCCCAGTGGATTAAAGAGCGGGTTTTCATTTGATTACTAAATCAAATGGACATTTTTCCGTTAGTTGAGTCAAAAATTCCTACTTGTGTGTAACAGTGAGTTAGAAGAGACCAAGACTCATCCAAAAAAGAGTGGGAAAGGGGAGCCTGTCTCTACCCATGGAGGACAAGCACAGGCATGGTTGACAGGGCCCTACCGTCTCTGGGCTTCCTTGCCTTCAGCCATAAATCAGAGGTAAAGGGCTGAGTGAGGAGGGATGGGAGAGATGTGCAAGCATGGGGTGCTCTGTGTGCTAGGTGTTCACCTGAGCCATGGCCTCCCCCTCAGAACGAGAGACCGGTGGTAACAGTACCCGAATACATCCTGCCGTGGGGGCCATCAGTCTGTGACCTCGATTCCATGTGTATGGATACTTTGTTTCTCAGGGAGAGAACGCTGGGTTTAAGTTTGATTCATATCCAACTAATAGGGAGCTGCCGGGCTGTCTCCTGGGTTACTCATTTGATACTCACCAAATTCTTATAGATGTGCTCAAAGAAGTTCAGAAGTCATTTGTCAAAAGCCCACATCTGGTTATGAGTGGAGCCCATGACGCCTCCTGACTCTAAATTCCCTCTACCCTGTCTCTTTAGGGCACAGGACCTGGCAGGAAAACTCATGTGAGCAGGAAAGCCTAGGTTCTCCGGTTGGCACTCTCTGTCCCTCTTGCCTCTGTCTCTCTCTGTCTGTCCCTCACACACATACATGCACACATAATAATGACAGCAGAAACAGGCTCCTAGAGAAGCACAACAATACCTCAAATATGCATCAAGCAACTCAGTGAGACATTTATGGCTGGGCTGATGTCACACATGTGCTTCAGAGTAACCTGGGTGGTGTTCAGAGTTTTAGATGGGACATGAGTTTTGATAACTGATGAAGATAAATTATTGTATACAGGGGTTCATTACACCATTTTGTACGTTTGAAATTTTCCATAATAAGACTTTTTAAATAATGCATCACATGAGTGATCATTTCTCTCTCAATTTGTCACCTGGTATGAGGTTCCACTTTAATTAATTTTCTGCCTGCTATTATGGTAAGAAAAATATTAGGACCAAAAGTTTCTACAGCTCATAAAAATCCCAATTACAACAATAATAGCTATCACTTACCGAGTGCTTCCTGTATACCTGGCACTACACTGGGCTCTTTAGCTATGGTTTTATTTAATCCTTACAACGGCCCAGTGAAGCAAGGAAATGAGCTTAAGTAATTTGTCCATGTCTACACTGGTGATAATTTATTAAATCCTATATTACTTGTGCTCTTAATTTCTACTGTTCCCACAACATAGACTACTTAAGTATTTTAAGACTTTCTACATAATTGGGACTAAACCTATAGTCTTTTTAAATGATAATAGCCTTTAAAGTGTGTCTCAGTCATTCTAATTTTAGGATTCTACCCCTTGGACGTTATCTGAACTACAAATAGAGATTTATTTGCAAGCATGTTAATCTGAGAGGCAATTACAATAGGGAAAAAATAAGAAGCACTGGGCTCTTCAGTAGTGGCCCTCATCCAGGAAGCCTTCCTTTCCCACGGCTCCTATCTCAGTGGCGCCACCCCTCCTCTTGGTCCACAGCATCGTGCACTAGACCAGGCTTTTGTTACCCTGACTCTCCCATCATACTGTGAACTTATTAAAAGCTGAGCTCTTCTTTTATATCTTTGTTTTAGAGTGGGCCTTTGAATATGTGAGGAATGAATTAACAAATGACCTTAGAGTTGCTTATGTAATAACATATAGAAACTAAAACTGGGCTGTGAAGGTCAGTGGCTGGAGATCACAAGGGCAGGACTAGAACCAAGGCGATAGGAGGGGCACTTCCCCCTCCACCTTAGACTTAAGACTTCTTCAAAAATACGAACGGCTGGTGTTTGCCAAGCAAACAAAAAATCCAATTAGAAAATGGGCAGAGGACCTGAACAGATGCTTCTTCCAAGAAGGCAGCCTAATGGCCAACAGATATATGCAAAGATGCTCAACTTCCTTAGCTATTAGGGAAATGCACATCCAAACTATAATGAGCTACCACCTCACACCTGTTAGAGTGGCTATTAACAACAAGACAAGTAGTAACGAGTGTTGGAGAGGTTGGAGAGAAAAAGGAACTCTCATTCACTGTTGGTGAGATTGTAAACTGGTATAGCCACTATAGAAAACAGTATGGAGGTTTCTCAAAAAGTAAAGAACAGAATCACCATGTGACCTAGCAATCTGTCTTCTGAGTATCTACCTGAAAAATTTGAAAACATTTATTCACAAAGATACATACACCCCTATGTTCATTGCAGCATTATTCACAGTGGCCAAAACATGAAAACAACTGGAGTGTCCTTCAATAGAGGATTGGATAAAGAAGCTGTGGTACACATATATACAACAGAATGCTTCTCAGTCATAAGAAAAGATGAAATACTGCCATTTGCAACAACATAGACGGACCTTGAGAATATGATGCTAAGCAAAATTAGTCAGACAGAAAAGTTAAAAACCATATGATTTCACTCATATGTGAGAGATAAAACTGAAAGCAACAAATGAATAAACAGGAAAAAAAAAACTCATAGGCACAGACGATAGCAGGGTGATTAGCAAAGGGAAGGGGACAGAGGGGTAGTGAAGGGTAAAGGGGGTCCAATACATGGTGACAGAAGATGATGTGACTGTGGGTGGCGGGCACACCACGCAATATACATTTCATGTATCATAGAAATGTGCACTTGAAACTATATAATCTTATTAACCAACGTCACCCCAATAAACTTAATTTTTTAAAAATGGCTGGTGTTTGAATGCTTGAGGCGGGGGGGTGGGGAATGGGATGAAGTTGGAGGCTCCTCCCTCTACAGAGCCTTACAGAAGTGATCAGATCCCATGGGACTACCTGACCTTGGAGATGCTGAGCAGCTGACACAGAGGATGAAAGAAAAGGCAGAGCCTTAATACAGATGTAGACTGTGACATGTATATGTGAGAAGGTTAGGCAAGGCAAGCAAGAGGCAAGAGATAACTGCACATACAGTGTACAGTCACTGCCTTCAAACCATGGATTTTTTTGTTGTTGTTTCTCTACGCTTTTTTCTACTTTTCCAAATTGTCTTCAATGGACATCCTTTATTCTTATAGTCAGAATGCTAAACAAAATCTAAATCACCAAATTAATTCTGAAGGCTGACCTGACCTTTCCAACAATGACTTAGGAAATCATCCCAGTATTTAATGTGAACTATGTACCATTACATATAAACCCATGAAAAGTACATCTCTCGGAATCAGAACATATGTAGCATACATTTAGACAAGCAAGAAAAACCTTTTTGTTTTTGTTTTTCCTAATTCAGTTCTTCCTGAAAAAAAATCACGGACAGCAGGTCTGAGAAAATTCTCAGGCTCTAATGTTCCAGGAGATTACTAGGAATTTCATTAATAAATTATTCCTGTCATTTTTGTAATGCTGCCACATACACACATTTGTAGAGAGCCACATTCTCTTCGAAACCTCCCCTCTTCCACTGTCTCATTTTACCTCTCTTGTTTGACCCATGAAGAAAGGAGGGACCCTCCACCCCAGGTCAACACTGAGATAAATTTAGGTCTATTTTCTGAGAGCACGGCCTAAGGGAAGATCCAAATGTGCTCTGAGCAAGGGTCGTGGGGCAGAGAATGGGGCACGTTGTTTCCAACTCCAGGCTGGGCTCAGGACGCCCCCACCCACCCCACCTGCCTGTCAGGGACTATGGAATGAGTGAATGGAATGACTTCCGGTCTCACTCACTTGGACCTGAAAGTTCTGGTTTTGTTTTTGATTTGTTTTTTCACTAAGTTTATTTACTTTAAAGTCACATACTTCATAACAACCCAAAGGCTCTCTTTACAGTTTGGTAAATATTCCCACCTCTTTATGACTAGGTAGCACAGGGTGTACACTGCAGGGGTTATTTCCCCCTCATTGTTCACCACCACTTAAAAAGCCAGGGAGCACTCAAACCTGCCAAGAGGTCTGAACAGTCCTAAGCACAGGTTACATGACTTAATACAACTCCAGGAGATACATGCATGTTCTTCCCCACACATTATACACTGTTCCTGCTGGTTCTCAAGGAACACAGGGGAGAGGAGAGATGATCCAAAC